CTACTAATAGCAGTTCCTACTATCAAGAATAAAAGCAGACACTAAAACTATGAAACAGTTCAGGCATATATATAAGAATAAGAACTGAGTGAGAATCATCTGGAAAAATGACACATACTATTGTAGAAAATGAACAAGATAGAAAAATGTTAATCCACTTGAGCGACGGAAAAAAGAGAAAAATAGATATATCTATAAATGTCCATGTGTTTACAGAAAAGAAAAACATACTTATCAAGTAAAAAAAAGGTCATTCTGTGTCATATTTCACAACTTAGTTTAGTTTAAACTTTATTATTCAAGCGAGAGAAATAAGAATAGTCACTTTACACAGATGCGGCCTAGGCCATTATATCAGAGGAAAATGACATGGTAAATGTTATAAGCTATTACAGGTAAACAGCAAGAAAAAAATAAAAATAAGAGGGAAAGAAGGAAAAAAAGTGTAAGGATAAACAACAAGAAGAATAAAATGATGCACTCTAAAAATTTAAGGCACTGCACAGACGCAAGCGATAGCGCAACAACAGTGTAGGGATCACAACAAATTTGGATGGTTAGTTTAAAAATTTAAAACGATTTGTAGCAATTATGTAGTCTACCACTGATCTGGCTACAAGTCTATAAGAGTCCTTCTCAAGAGATACATTAAGAGAGAGAAGAGCCAGATTAAGAGGATTGCCGTTCAGTAAGGATCGTAAACTGCTATATAAATGATTTCTAGAGAAAGTATAACGGGGACAATGAAGAAAAAAATGTTGTCGTGTTTCTGATTCGCCGTATTGGCAACGATCAGCATCAGATAAATGCTTTTGATAGAGATCATCATTTAACTGCGAAAATTCAGATCTTATTTGGTAGTAGATGATATCAGCTTTTCTTGAAATTTTGTATACTCGATAAACAGTTGAGTTCGGCTGCATATGTACTTTTAAAGATTTCACAAAAATAGCTAAAGTTTTGGATTCTTTTATGTTTTATTGTAGTCCGTTCCATTTAGCGATAGTAGAAGGAAAGAGGCTTTTATCAAATATTTCTCTATGAGTCTGAATCGAAGATATGGCTAGATTATTTTGATATCTTGTACAATACTGATGTTTTACCTTGCTTGATAAACAAGAGGATAAATAAGGAGGAACAAATCCTTTAATTATTTTATAAAATAAAATTAATTTATGCTGAAGAAAGAGTTTATCTAATGGTAACCAACCTAAACACTGCAAAAATTTTTTCTTTACTTGACAACCGCAGAGCTCCAGTTACAGCTAACGCAGCCTGATATTGCAAGTTATAAAGCTCAGTTAAATGACTTTCATATGTCGATGTGTAGATACAATCGGCATAACCTAATGTCTGTAGAAAAAATGAACTATAAATCTGTCCAAGGACAGTTGTAGACAGTTTATACTTGAGGAACTTCAATAAATTAATTATTTTATAACATCTAGTAGTAATATATTTTATGTGACCTTGCTAACTTAATTTTTTTGATATTACAACGCCTAAACTTTTATGCTCCGAAACGAAGTCAAGTTGCGCTGTACCAATAGAAACAGCGACAACAGGCAGATTAAAGGATTTTCTTGAGAATAGCATACAGAAGCATTTGCCAACATTTAGAGGTAGTTGCAATTCCACTGATCAATCATATGCTTGTTTCAGATCATTGTTCATATCAACTATTACTTTCGTCCGGTCGTGATCGCAATGAGACATTGTTGTATCATCAGCAAACTTTCTGGTGATACACCCCATATCTGAGCCAAAACCGTCAATGTAGACTAAAAACAAGATAGAACCCAAAATAGACCCTTGAGGGACACCGCGATTTATATTTCTTGGCTTAGAGTACTTCCCACTAACGATAGTTACAATCGATCTTCCAGTAAGATAACTTTGGAACCAATTTAACAGGTTTCCCCTAACTAATCTGCCCTTAGATAGATTTCATAATGCTTCACACGTCCTGAAATTTTCACTTAAAACAGATGTTTTTTTATCGAGATATTTGATACCCAAGAAAACCAAACAAAAAATAAATTTTGTGGAATATATTATATAAAAATATATAAAAATATTTCCACAAAAATTATTTTTTGTTTTTTCACACATATTCTGATTCGTCGTGAGCTGCTGATCACGAATATCACTTTATTATCTGGTTTAAGCCAAGTATTCATAGAGAAACACTCAAAATACTGAGGGATATAAAAAACCCTTGTTTTCAGAAACAATGCAATAATGTATATTCACAGTTTACACCGAACGATCTTGGATGTGTATAATAACAGTCACACCAATACCGATTCTTTTCTTTTCCATTTTCCAACTAGAGTTGATATGTATCGATCACATCTATCGGTACTCCCAATTGTTTTTGTTGTCCCAATTGTTGTTGTTTTGAAATTGTTTTTTTTGACGTAAACTGGAAAAATACACGATATCATATTCAGAACACTCATCATCGTCTCGATGAATAAGACTTTCGGGTAGCCTTCGACAATATTCATTACTTAATCGTACACTCCTCTGATCATCAACGATCAAACAATCATACTTGTCAGTCATACTTGTCACTCAGATCTGTATTGTGAAGCACGTAGACTATAAAAAAATGAAATGTATTCTTAATCTTAAAGAGCTCATCTCAAATTAATCTTGATTAGGATTTTTATACGAGTTTTTCTCTTTGAAAGTGTCACTCAGAGGCATCTGCTGAACGTTTCCTTTTTTTCGTCCTTCGGTTTGGTACATAATCCATTTGATCCACTCTCACTAGTTGATCATATGTAAACTTTTACTCCTTTTCTCCTCATATCATTTGTTATTTTTCAATACATAGTCATGGTAAGTTCAATAAAAGATATCTACAAATCAATAAGACACCGCCTTGTTCTTATTTTTTTTTAGAAGGATAATAGTCCAACATTACGCAGTTCATTCGAAAAAGCCCTTCAGTTGAAAAGAAATCAAAATTTTGTGTTTAAAATAATGAGCTCGTATATTCTTATCTGATTCTGACAAGAAAAGTGTCGTGATTTTTGTAGACGCAGCCCATAGTCTTGTGTTTTCTTATTCAATTTACTGCTTTCATACCTGAATAAAATTTTCTTAATATTGTTTTTCTATAATACGACCTACGCCGCAAGTGGGCAGTCTAAGGACTCGTCGTCATGGTCCACTACCCGCAGATCGGATGTACTTGTCCAAATTCATCATGACTAGTGGAAAAGAGTGAAATTCGAAAAAAAACACTGTGTGAGAAGAGAATTCAGAGCACGACATTTGTATTAATTCCGTCTTTATAGACTGATCTCTAGCAAAATGCATCTGCTTCGTATCTTGTAGTTTTATTAGAGCAAGCTGACGAATGCCATTCGTCAAAATACCACGAAAAATCTGTCCAGATAGACATCCAGACAACCACTCATCGACACAAACCACAAATTCCTGAAATAATAGAAACAATGCGGTCAGAAAAGACACTTGTTGCAAAAATCTTTGCACTAAATGTTTAATCAGTTTTCGATCGTTTATAACTGATTCAAGAGAATCAAAAGTTTTCTACTAGAATCAGCATTTCATGCTCTTTCCAGATGTATATTTAAATTTTCTTTCATACCTGAATAAATTTTCTTAATATTGTTTTCCTATAATACGACCTGAGCCGCATGTGGGCAGTCTAAGGACTCGCCGTCATGGTCCACTACCCGCAGATCGGATGTACTTGTCCAAATTTATCATGACTAGTGGAAAAGAGTGAAAATTCGGAAAAATACACTGTGTGAGAGGAGAATTCTAGCAAAATGCATCTGGTTCTTATGTTGTGGTTTTATTAGAGCAAGCTGACGAATGCCATTCGTGAAAATACCACGAAAACTCTGATTAGATATTAATCTTTTTACTCATCTGATTTTTCACTAAAATGAAATTTCTAATCGTCTTTATTTGTAGAGAAACCCTTTGATGAGTTTTCAAATCCGCCATACATCAAAAGCAAATAACTGGGTTTTGAAGTTTTCCGAGATAAATGTAACTTTGTTGTTGTTGTTCGTGTGACTCCTGGGAAACCGTAAATAATTAGGCCAAATATATGACTTTGAACGAGACGAGATGATAGGACCAGGGGGAATTACGCGTGTTCCAGAAGGCTTGACTGACTACGTTCCTACCATCTAAGCCTCCTAGCGCTCTGTTAGCCGTATCTGGTAACCGCATCAGACCCTCTTTGGAGATTTCGACCGTCTTTGAGCGCCTGCTCTGCCCTGCTAGCCGCTTCGAGCACGATGGGAGCTCCGGAAGCACCAGCATCAAACGGCAGACCTTGAATGTGGCCTCGGAAGTGTCCAGAAGCTGCTGCTCATGAATTCTCATTGAGCCAGAGGGGGTTGGTCATACAGTCTGTAAATGACACCTACTAGGCTTCCGTCACAACTGTACCCTCAAGCAAGAACTACTGCTACAAAATCCGTTGTCGTTGGTCGGTTCCCTATTCAATACCAGAACATGGTCTACTACTTCAAGTAAAGTCGTAGACTCAGTTCTGTTCTATAAACTATGGCTTTGTCTATAAACAAGCGGTCCATTTTTGCGGGACGTCACACTGAAGATCATTTATTAGACATTCGCGAAAGCCACATTTCCGATCAACATTATCATTTAGTCCACAAACGGATTACCGACCGATCTACCTCCACTTTACCCTAGTTTAACGTCATTGCGGACAAACGCAGCAAAAAACTCCACTTGTCGTATCATTTTCCAAAAAAACCTTTCCCCAAATTATAAAATACCAACACCAAAACCCGTACCATTTCTGAAACCATAACCTGTTCTTTATGTAACAACATTACCATAGTTTAACGTCATTGTGGACAAAAGACAAAAGTTGACCACATTTTTCCAATAATTTTTCACCTAAACTACAAAATACCAAGTCCAAAAACCCGTACCATTACCGAAATCATAACCTGTTCTTCACGCCACAACATTATCCTAGTTTAATGTCTTTGTAGATGAAGAGCTGCACCGGCTTTATTGAACTGTGGTACATCGATCGTATTAACATTCCCAAGCATTAAATGCTGTCGCATAAAGTCAGATATCATTTTCGTATCGTAATAGCAGTTGAAAGCGTCTTCCCGGAGTCCAGATTTATGAACAAACAGATCTCGTACACGTTGTATTACCTCAAATGCATCGCAATCTCTTGGTACTGGACAGTTTTCGATGTCCCAAAAAAAAGTGATCAATCCACCTGGTTGTGGTTGTGTAACAATATTCTGTTTCTTTTCTGCTGGATGACGGTAGTTGCAATCGACATTTTTGCATTCATTTGGCCATTGTAAACATTTGTTTTCTGTTTGTTTTGCAATCTCACAATGACGAAAATTACATTTTTTAGCATTATTATTTGTAGCCTCATTTTTACAGCTACCGTTATAGAAAAACCGACAGTCTGTCAGTTGTGTTGTTGATGGAAACGTGTTTGATGCCATGTCCGAGTTATGAAGATGTTGATAAACAGAATAAATGTCAATAACTTATATTTTGATTTTATTGCAACTGACCGAAGCATACGTTTTTTAGTGCAATATATATCTACATAAAAACCCTTTTATTTCTTCTTGTATCGTATTTATACTTGGAAATTCCCGTCTTTGTCATAATGCAAATAAATAAATATGAGAACTATTTGAATATCTATTTGCTTTTTTTTTGTTCTCACTGTCAAGTGATGAAAAGAGGAGAGAGTAGTCGTTAGGGAATTTCATCTTTTTTTCGTTCTGTTTATTGTAGAAGCTTTTTCTTCTATATTTCTGTAGATGCGTGCATAAAATAAACTGCTGGGTGGTTTGTTTCGATTACTGATCATATCCATTTATTACGTT